TGCGAAGGCTCATGGAGCGGGGCGGAGTAGGAATATTTCTCTTCAGTGAATAGTGACGAAAACCTCGAACCCCTGAATCCTCAACCTTAAACTTTAAACCCTAAGCCCCAAACTCCACGCCTCGAGCCCAAACCCCTAAGGCCTAAGCCCCAGTACGCAAAAAAAACAAGCCCACTGCCCTAAACCCCTAAGCCCCAAACCCTAAATCCTAAACCCTAAAAACAGTCGGTGCTTACAACAAGCGGGCCTCTTGCAACATGCGAATCATGAACACACAAGCACTGCAAGAACACAAGAACTATGTTTCAATAAAATCCTACAAAGACCCTTCAACTACCCCACACTTATCATCAGTGGCCAGATACCTTTACTTCAGGGCACCGGGAGGGTCGTAGATCTCTAGACTCTAGAGTTCTGCTGGAGCTCGTAGGCCCCCAGGCTTTACAGTGGCTAAGCATAAGCCTGAATATCGAAGTTCTAAGGAACCCAGCAGTCCAATGCTTCTTCGAAGCCCACTGTTGATTTTGTTGAGAAGGCCGAAATGTTGAGAAGGCCGAAAGACAAGGCTGCAGCATTGAAACGGGGTTCGTGTTGGCCGACGGCTTTCATGGCTTGATACAGGTTGTCATCAATGTGATTGTGATTGTTGTTGTTGCTGTTGTTGTTGTTGTTGTTGTTGGCAAGCCTCTCGGCTCAGGAAAGGTCAAGCTAGTACAGTTGCCTTTCTCCTTTCTTGCCATGGCATTTGTCAGCGCCTGGGCAGTCCCGGTCCCAAGTCCGGGAGGGAGCATTTAGATTTACAGCTTTCTAGCAGCTCCCAGAGGTGAGGGTTGTCGGTCTTGCGCAGCCGACAGGAGCAGTGCTCAACATGAGCACTGTGAAACAGCCTAGTGCTTCGACCAAGCATCACCCGCCCATTCCCAAAGGGAAAGGTAAACGCTCTTATCAAAGGGCGGCACGTCAGGCTCTGGCGGAAGGCAGTGCGATTTACAAGGGGAGACGACTGTCAGCCTCGGAGCTAGGAGCTACTCCAGCATCTGACAAGAACACCGTCAGAAGCTCCCGAAGAAAGCCGAATCAGCTTCATGAGGATAGCAATGTCGGTTATCTCTCTTGGAATGCCGGCTCGCTCACTACAGCGGTCTGGGAAGAGTTACTCTCCGTACTGAAGACCAGCCCTTTTCAGGATGTTAAAACAGTTGCCATTCAGGAAACCCACTGGCCAGGCACGTGGCAGTTTAGCAAGTCAGGCTGGCACGTTATAAGCTCGGGCTCCTCAGGAGAGAAGGGAGCAGGGGTGCTTGTGATGGTTCATTCCTCTATGTGCAAGCAACAGCAGATACGATTCAACGAGATTGTTCCCGGAAGGATCCTCCAGGTCAGAGTGCCAGGCAAGGATATAGCGCTTGATGTTTTCTCCTGCTATCAGTATGTATGGCGCTCTAAGGCTCTAAGGAGACTGTCTCGCAGAATAAGCAGTCACGCCAGCAGATTTTGCACTCCCTAGGCCAATCAATCCGATCTATTCCTAACAGGAATACCCTTCTTGTTCTTGGGGATTTCAACACCTCTCTCAGGCCTGACAATAGGCATGTAGGGCCGTGCAACGTCCAGGCAAGCAGACTGGGACATCGAGGAACGAAGGCTCTTCAGTCCATGTTGCAGGAACACCAGCTGACAGCTACAAACACCTGGGGGGTGAGACGGCCAGCGACCCACATTCAGGGCAACTCAGTGTCCCAGATTGACTTTGCTTTTATCCGATTGTCCCAAAGTCAGGGTCCTGCCAAGTTCAGCCAACCAATAAGGGCTTTTCCGGTAGCACATTGGCGCGAGGGTAGCAGACACTTTCCTCTTATAGGCAAAGTTCGCCACAGCAGGAGTTACTCCGCCCAGGAAGGGAAACCTTACGATCAGGAGCACATGGAGGCATGTTACCGTCAGATCTTCGCTCATCTCAGATTACTCAGCACAGGTGGATTCAATGCTGAAGGACCTCCCGCGATCCTGGTCCTCCCTACAACAGTCGATGACTGTTGCATTGCAAGCACTCTTCCCCAAGAAGAGAGTTTCACATAGTCAGACTCAAGACCGTATCTGGGAGGAACGCATGATTTTACGCTCTATTCCCTTTAATTACACTGCAGGTGATATCCGACTTTCTGCCTCACTTCAAAATCCGACTGGCCTTCAAGTGTTGGAGCACTCTCTCGCGGCAAAGTAGCCAAGCACGGAACGCGAGGAAGCTTAAGCAAGAAAGACGGCAGCAAGAGATAGACGAACAGCTTCAGCAAGCTGAGCTCAAATCCAAACAGGATGGCAGTCACTCCCTGTACAAGGTGATCAACAAATTTAGATCAGGTAAGCCTCATGACAAAGTTCAGCTTAGGGACACTGAAGGCCGTTTCCTCACAGCTTCAGAAGAGAAACGGCAGCTAGAAGAATATTCGAAAGATCTCTTTGGGACAGGCACCGACTTTCCCTTGTAGGCGAGGCAGGCTATCTTCACATCACGTCCTCAGAGGTGCGAGAGCAGCTTAGCACCATCAAACTAGGCAAGGCAGTTCCCAGGAACAGCCCTCCAGTAGTAGCGTGGAGATCCCTAGGGCCACGGGCGATTCAACTCATAGCGGACACTCTGAACCAAGAGGTCTCTTCTGGAGACTTGTCAGAAGGAATCACCTCATCGCAGATCTCTTGGTTGCCGAAGCCACCCAAGAAGCCGGACAAGCCAGCCTCCCTAAGACCGATTGGGGTTATCGCTCCTGAGGGCAAGATCCTCGCTGGTCTAGTTAGAAAGAGGCTGAAGCCCACCCTCCAGCAGGCCATGTCGGGGGTCTCGCAATTTGGTTTTGTGCCAGGCCGGGGCACTGAGGAGGCTATCTGCAAAGCCTTGACACACATGGATCAGGCCCGCTTCAGGCAAGCCCGTACACAGAAAACAGTAGGCAAAGGCTTTCGGGGCTTGAAGCTCCAGGGCAGCCTGACTATGAGTGTTGATATGAGTAAGGCGTTCGATATGGTAGATCGCGTTCGACTGCGCGAGGCCTTGGAGTCGGCAAGCGCCGACCCACTTCTGGTAGAAGTAGTAGGGCGCCTTCACATCCAGGCCCTGTACCGCATGACGGTAAATGGTCAGAGCTTTGCTATTGCCACTCGAAGGGGAATTAAGCAGGGCTGTAAGCTTGCTCCCTCCCTTTTTGCGTTTGCGACAGGTCTACTATACAGGAAGCTTTCGGAACATGTGAGTCCAGAGGAGCTGGCTAAGCTGACTACGATGTACGCTGACGATAGTCTGATTCAGGCGCACTTCAACTCCGAGTTAGGCCTGCAGACCGCACTCCGTCACTGTGACCTTCTCCTGGATCAGCTGGAGGCGCTCGGCTTTAATTTAAGGTCAATCCGTCGAAATCGGCCATGCTGCTTCAGCTCCAGGGGGGCTCAGCCTCCACAGTTAGAAAGAAGATCATCCGCACGGTTGAGGGAACAAAGTACGTAGAGCTTCCGTCAGGCAGACTGATCTCCTTGAAGTATCAAACGCCGTACCTTGGGATCATTCTATCATATCAAGACTATGAGATGCGCACGCTAAAGCACCGCTTGGACGCCAGCAAGCAGGCCATGTCCGAGGTTGCACACGCAGCGCGGAGTCACAGGGTCCTCTCTGACAAGCGTCGTTTGTCTATCTGGACCATTACTGCTTGGGCCTCCGCTCTTTACGCTTTGCATGTTGTCGGGGTCACTCAGCAGGGCCTGCAGAAACTTCACTCACACATGATGTATCAGCTTCGATTTGTTCTGAGGAGTTACTCCCAAGAGACGAAAGACTCCAACCAGGAGTTGTTCTACATTTCAATCTAGCCGCAAAGACTACTCTCACATCTTCATTCAAACATATATAACGGTATTCACAAATATATCTTTCCGATATAATGATCCGATCCTCTCCTTTTTGGCGGTAAGACACTTCGCGCAGCTGACGATCACACAAAGCAGATGCCAGAATGTCTGAGATCACCGGCTGCAGAAGTGCGAAGATAAACAAGTTAGCCGCAAGGATACAAGACGAAAGCAAGATAATATGATACCAGAAGTATGCCGGAGGTCGTAGGCATTCAAGCGCTGCGATGCCAAGTGTACAGTAATGTACAATGCTACGGTGTCTACTGTGGTAACAGGCATGCATTGCAGATGTACTCCGTAGGTGCTACAGAGAACCTCCACTCTTCATCGGGCGGGCGGGTGGGGCCTTTCAAACGACCCTTCTCTGCTCGAGCAGCTTTGCGGCTAGATAAGCAACAAGGATATCAGAGCATGCGCTAGAAGAAATGTAAAACATTTTTGAGCAAGCACAAATAGCGTTCTACATTTCTATCTAGCCGCAAAGACTACTCTCACATCTTCATTCAAACATATATAACAGTATTCACAAATATATCTTTCCGATATAATGATCCGATCCTCTCCTTTTTGGTGGTAAGACACTTCGCGCAGCTGACGATCACACAAAGCAGATGCCAGAATGTCTGAGATCACCAAAACAGAAAACTGCCTAAAAGGAGAGGTCGGACTCGCTGCTAAGCACTCCCACTACCGAAACGTGAGGACGACTGAGCCTTGGTTGGCATTTTGCCAAGTGAAGAGCAAGTCAATGCCACGGATGAGGCCGAAGCTGAACAAAACACGACAAAATTCAGCTAGATAAACGATATGAAGCCATAGGTCATCCGTGCATGGTGCATCTGTCCTATGCCATGCATTCGCGTCACGCATGCAGAAGAATGCACGCTGCATCGCTATGGAGCTCAGCACCGTCTTGAAGGGAACGCATGTGCTCACGGGGGAAGGCATGCCGACCGCGCACCGTGAGTGTCGAACCCTGACGATGAAGCACCGCGACACCGGTAATGCAGGAACCCCAAGAGCCCACGGGGGAAGGCCAGGCCAACCGCGCACCGTGAGATGTTGAACCTGCCCAATGCCGGGTGCTGATGAGCATGTCACTTCAAGCAGGGCAGCGGCGGCTGCCACATGAAGGAAGCATCCGGCGGGAAAACACGCACATCTTTCTCGCCCTCCCACAAGACTGAAAGGGGGCAGCGGATGCGATGTTCCACATGAAAGTCCGAAGGCAAATCCGCCGCGTCGCCTTGCCATCTGCTCAAGAAATCGGCTTTGTCGTTGTGGCAACCTGCAATGTGGGAGCAGTCAAGTGCGATGCCAGACTGCCAGCTCCAAGTCGCGAGCTTCTGCGTGAAGAAACACAATGGCGAATGGACCGTGAACAGCTTGTTTGTCAAGGATTCTGTGCCGATGCAAACCCGCAGTCGACCCGCAGGAGTGATGGAAGTAAAGGCGACAAGAAGCGCAAGCTGCGCAAGCGTCTCATACGCCGTGATGTCCAAGTTCGCATCTTCTTTCATCGGCAAACCCATATCCAAGAATTGGGACACCGTGAACCATTCGGCAAACCAAACAATTGGCTGATTCGGCAAGGACACCCATCCGCCGATGCCAATGTCACAACCTTTAGCGCAAGCATCAGCTGCCAAAGAGTACTGGAAATCCAAAGGCGGCAGCGAGAGGCACCTGGGCACTTGGGGTCGCATGCAAAAGTGCACCCAAAACAAGATGAACTGGCGGCTCACTGGGCTGATGCGACGTTTAGAGGATGACGGATCCGAAACGCGAACCCAAATGCGCCTGCCCGTTACACGGACTTTCTGAAGGTCGGCCTTACATGCGGTTTCCACATGGCGTGCGCTCAACAGCTTGCACCCTGGCGCAATGTGCGTGCCTGGTGGAGAACGGTTGAAACGCATGTCCTCATCAAGAAGATTAGGCAGCTGCTGCCATGCTGACGTGTTCAAGGAGAAGTTCGTGCCCAACGGTCGAACTAAATCGTGATACAAGCAGCACAGCCAAGGCAACAATTCCGGCGACATTTGCATTACCCAATGCAAAAGCCCAATAAGAGCTTGCAGGTCGCGCTTGCTGCAAGGGTCATGCTGGAGAACCTTAGTCAAGGCTTGTAACAGCTTGGCCACTTTGGCATCCGGCAAAGAAAAATTCCCAGCACGGAAATTCAAACGCCATCCAACGTATTCAATCCTAGCGCCCAACTGAAGTTTGCGCCAGCTTATCGGATACCCGAAAGATTGTGACATGGCAAGCATCAAAAGTGCAGAGAGCTCAATCGCGGCTGAGTGCTGAAGCAGCAAAGCGTCATCCACATACATTAAAAGTATGTGACTGATGAAGATCAAGCGGTGGCCTGTTCTTATGTAAAAACCAGCGACTCTTTGCCACCAAAGTGCCGAGAAAGACCCCCCAAACGGGGCGACTTTGTAAAAGTAATACTTCCCTTTTACACAAAAGCCTAATAAACCTTGTTCGCTTTCGCGAATCCTCACAGTCTTGTGAGCTGCCTGGATGTCCAAGGAGCATGCGGTGCAGCCGCTGACCCCCCTCAGGGGGTACACTGCACGGATGTCTCCCAAACCTGGGAGGAGAAATCTTTCAGGCAGATGGCAACTCGGATTCACCCCACTTACCGTGGGGTCGACAATCAATCTAGGATCCCTAGAGAAACTTTTCACTACATTAACTTTTCCTACCGCGACGCGATCCCACTTAGCCTTGGCAGATTCAAGAGAATCAAACACTGTCACGTAGCCTTTTTCTACCTCCTTAGTGACCAGCTGGTCCAGAAGCTCGGGTTCCTCGTTGGCGCCGGGCCAATTCCCAGAGCACACCTGCACATCATGAGAATCCGGGTCGAAGTCGGCCGGCATCGGCAAGAAACAATTACTCAAGGAAATATCACCCGCGATGCCCGTGGGTACTCCACACTGCAAGTCGTGCCATAACGCCGTGTCGCGGTCACCAAGAGCCTTGCTAAGCAAGGCAAGGGCTTCAAGAGCGTAAGGTTGGTCCTGTGCAATGGCCCATGAAACCGTTTCGGTAAACCCCTGTGCCCTAAACCATGACTCCCAAATGGATCGCAGCGTTGCGACTTCATGGGGTGTGAAAATCGGCTCATTGGCAGATGTGCTGACATGTTTGCGCAGTCGGTCAAACATGCCTTGCTGCTTAAAGAAATCCCACATGTCTCTCCGCAGCTGGCGGAATACATCCTTGTAGCCAGCTGGTGGTGAAGTCCAGTCCGGCTGACTGTAGATCCCACCTCCATCCTGCTGGCCCGTGGGCAAATCATCCACAGGGCGAATCGGCAGTTGTTGAGTTGCCTGGTCAATCGACACAAGAGGAGCGGGTGCTGATGTAGATGCCGCGGGAAACAAAGGTGCGATGGCACTGATGAATGTCTGGCAAAGTTTCTCCGGAAAAGCGGCGGTCTTGCGTGTTGTGTACTCGCCCGAAGAATCCCGAACTCCATGAAAGGGACGGTGTGTGCCCCGGGGGTGTGGACAAGACCCCTGTAGTTCCTGCAAGGGATGCCAACTGGTAGCGAAGACCCAGTACTTCTCAAATTCTGACCCGAAATTACAAGCAGCCACCTGGATGATATCAGCGGCTATGTCCAACATCCAAGCCTGAGTTATCGGAATCGGCTCAGCCCAAGCCATGGAGTTGCGCGGCTGCTCCAGGCTCACATGATTGCCACTCTGGAAGACCGCATGCAGAATCATGATTGCCCGACTCAAGAGGAGGTGGCTGAACTTAACCCGAGCATGGGCTGCTTCGTCATTGGATGGCAAACCCTGCAAGAAATCCCATGACCTGCACGGAGGAGGGCCCCCGTCAAAACGCTTGACGATGCTGTAATCGCCACAGGGTGGCGAGGCATGTGCAAATGCAATGACGCCCGAGTAAGCGAGTTTCAACAATGCGTCGAAGACCTTATCATCCAACAAGTCATCAGCCGACCTTCTGAGGATGTCGACTGCAATGCAAGGCAACCCGTGGCGCGATGCCATCATGGACAGAGGGGCACCAGCACCTGCAAAAAGGTCAAGGAAGAAGCGTGGCTGATTTCGCAGAGGCACTGACGGCGGCACTGACGAAGCAAGTGTCGCGGGGGCATCGTGCGCAACTTGCTGTTGCGGCGTGGTACAGCTTGGCACTGGCACCGGTGGCACCATTGGAAAGCCCAGGTCACGCAGAACTTCGCAGGAGACTTCGGGGATTGAGTAAGCTATGATGACCCATCTATCGCCAACCCAATCAGATGAGCCGTGCCAGAGGCCAGGGTCAAACGAAAATGGTTTGTTGTGCACATCCACCAAACGGCCTGGAACGGATCTAGACAGATCCGGCACAAAACGGGGCGTGTTGCCCTCCACGTCCTCCAGCCACAGCTGGCCATCGGAAAATGAACCCAAACTAAGAACCAAATTTTTGGATCCTGGGATATTAGCTAAATCACGGTGGGGTGCTGAAAAGCAATTGTGGCTAATGCAAATTGTATTCCACGTATCCGTGGGCCATAACTGGCGCAGAAGAGCATTGAGCTCAATCACGACAGAGCGCAGCTGCTGCGTAACGTTTGTCAAAGAAGATTTATCACTAATCCTAACCCCGAAATTCCAATACCCGGAATTCGTGTGAAGGTGATCAGTGACGGCCGGCCGCGCGTGCGGCGACTCAGGCCACTGCGCACTTTGAAGCAACTGCAAGCATGATGAGACCACCGACTCCAAATCTGTGGGCTGCACACTGGTATTGGTCCGCGCACTGGAAAACAACTGCGGAACCAATGCCTGCGAAGTTGCCAAATCCGCTGCTCCTTGAGGAGATATCTCGTGTTGCGCAACATCAACTGAGGGCCCGCCTGCAGGCAAAACCGGAGACAAGATAGCGCTGCCAGGCACAGATTGCCCGACCCCAGCAGCACAGCTGGTCTCAACAACTGCAAGCTGCCCTTCACCTCAATGGGGTGTCTTCCTGTAACCATTGGGATCATGATCGCCCAAGCACAACTTGCCCTGAGCATCCAAAACACCGCACCGGTGCTCAAAGCGGCAGTCCTTGCCCCGAGTGCACCTCCCCAGCTGGAAATCCTGCAAAGGTTGCGCCTGGATTGGCCTGCCATGTAAAACAAGCCGACTTTCAAACCAGCGACCTGAAAGCCGTTTGCATGCTGCTGGCGATCACTGCGACCCTTGTCGCCCTTCTCGCCTTTCCTGCCTTTGCCATTGCCCTTGGTTTCACCTTTTCCACCGCGGCCTGAGCCACGTCCGTTGCCTGTGGGATGCGAGGCCTGCCGAGCGGGGCGAGGCATAAGAAGATAGTGTATCTCGTTGCGGATGACGACCACTTCGTGAACCGCTTGGTCGAGCGTCCACTGCTGCTCGTTGTAAAGAGAACTGATGCTTTGCCAGAGCTTCTGATCTGCTGTCTGCGCCTCGGCAACAGAAGGTGAGCGGAGCATGGAGTCCGCAGGGTAGCGTTCATACAAACGGGCCATGAAAATGCGAACCATCTCCTTGAGTGTGTGGAGATGCGCACCCCCATACAGGGCCAAAGCTGTAGCCTGAAGCATGAGCAATTCCTGGACCAAGGATTTGCCCATGGTGCTGATTGTCAACTCACGCTCGGGCACCTGGTCGAAAAGTGCCGACTCCAACCTGGGAAGCTTGGACGGTCTGGCCATCCCCGCGCTTTCCTGCGCTTCTTCACTAAGACGCCACTTCCATGGGATGTATTTCCAACGACGGTCCTGCAGCTGCTTGGCCGTCAGTGCCAAAAGCCTTGAGCTCGGCATGCTGTCCGGAGACAATGTCTCCGAGGGGTAACGCGACTTGAACTTTGCCACCATCGACTTAACGGCTTCAGCTGTAAGCTTCTTGGGAAAAGATTCAACCCAACCGGAATCCGAATGCAACGGAACTTGCGATGGCGCTGGTGCAACACTCACCTGCGATACCTTAGGATCGGTCAAAGCATGGCACTGACGCCACAGGCGGCGAATGCGCGATTTGCTCAGCAATTCAGAAGGCTCTGCTGGATACACCAACTCATCAAGAAATCCCTCTAAGGACTCAAGAGAAATCGCAATCAGCCCGAAATCAGTAGGCGAGAACTCCAAAAAAGATGGATGCAATTCCACAGGAATCTGAAATTGCGTGAGCAGCTGCAACATGCCTGGCTGCTGAGTCGATGCGTTTGCAGGCGGCTCTGGCCGCAATGGCCCGTCATCCAATGCCAGCAAGGGGTCGCCTAAAGAAGGCAAGCCCCACGACTCAAGATCCATGATGCAGACCGCAGGAAAGTGCTATTGAGCCCTAGGTCCTAACGTGTTCAAAAGGGACTGCTACTGCGCTAGCCGATAACAGCCAGATTCCTTCATCGTAAACAAGCACAGCGTTACATGATCAAAAGGGACTGCAACTGCGCTAGCCGTTAACCGCCAGATTCCTACATTGTAAACATGCGCATGCCACATGTGCTCCGTGAGAGCTTGCAAAACTTGCGTGAGCACAACAATCCAGTGCCTGAGAGGCTGCAACAAGGTTACCGTAGTGCTGTAATACCGCCGCCTCTGCCACAAAACACTCTCTCACTCAGAAATTCGCAGCCGAACGACGACTCACTAGATGCACACGGGCAGTCTGACAGGGAAAGCCGGGCCCCGCAACCCTTTCTTTTTTACTGCGCTGGAGCCAAGCACTCCGTAGTATACCGCACCGCTGTGGTACGGGAAATGCGAAAAAGCCCATCAGGGCAAGGAACCCATCAGGATCCAACGCAAAACGCAAGCCAGCGCCCCATGCTCCTTCACGCTCGCTTGAGTAACACACCCAAGCGCAACTCGCCTGCCGTTGGCCCGACTTGATGGACTGCGGCAACTGGCTCATGCTACTCTGTGACACAAATTCGCACGGCACTGCCGGGATACGCAATGCAAAGGCAATCGAAGATCGCCCGACTGGGCAAGGATACCGTCAGGATCCCACGCAAAATGCAAGCCAGAGCGACTGCTCTGAAATGCCAGCTTGAATCTAGCACTCAAGTGCATGAATGCTTGCTGCCGGAAACCCAAAAGGAAATCGCAGCCGCTAGGGACGCTATGTGGTGACACATTGTCACATGCGACCTCCTTGGATGCAAAATGCGATTTGAATGCGACGGGTATGCATCAGCAACCCGCGATTATCTTCTGACACGCAGCGTGTTTGCAAACCCGCGACCCAGCCTTGAGCGCGGAGCTCAGACGCAATTGCTTGCTCAGAGTGCCACACGCTGGACGCACATAACCGTCCATATATGGAATACCGTGTTCCGAAGGAACCGCCATGTGAAGCACCCCCGATGGGCTTAGCAGGTACCCGAACTCCTCAGGAGTGCCCAATGATACCTCATCTGCTGACGCTGGCCCCGATGCAGATGACGACTGAAAAGTCTGATGAAGTATCTCAGAAGTATCTACCATGCTCCCCGAAGCCGCCGCTATGCCAACCTCAGATTTGTCCATGACACCGCCAGGAGCAACGGGGACCGGGCTGTGAGATGTCGATGCTCCCATTGGTCTGGACATAAGCAGGCAGAGGCACCTCCTGATGTATAGGACCAAACAAAAGTGGAACCTGGAACGTCTGTGGCACACCTTGCAACACACACAATGGCAGCTGAGGAACGCTGTGAGATGCTCCACGTCTCTGAGGCGCCAGTGGGACCCAGCCCGCGCGCAGAGCTTCGCACACAGTTCGCTGGGCACGCAGGGCTCCAACAGTGTCAGTCCTAGAGTACAAAGCCGCGGAATCCAACCGGTGATGACCCGCTGAAAGACGATCTGGCTTGGGTACTTCACGAAGATGCATCAAGTAAAGAAGCGACGATTTAAGTGAATGCAGAGTGAACACCGTCTCAGCCCCAGCAGCGCAAGCCCCCGAGCGGAGACAAAACGGTCTAAGGCAGCGCAGTGATTGCGCGTAAGACAGTGGTGCGAACTGCCCAGTTGTCGGGTCGATACTGAACCACATACAGTCGGGCACGACATCCGCGCCGTGGTGTTGCTGCACCAACTCCCACACTTCACCCAGAGCGCAAAGGCACGCAGCCGGCCAGGACTGCTGAACTACATCAGGATTGCCATGCAGAGCTGCCGTCGTCGCTGCCAATGGCATCCCACGCCGAGTCGTCTTGGTTTTGAAAGCTTCAGCTCTGACACACGTGGAACAAAGCTCCAACGATGACCACTTAATGCGTTGGCTGTCGGACCATCGCAAGGATGCGTGAGAGCAAAGCAGGATCGCGCCTGCAATGCATCGATCTTGTAAGCAGGCTTCGCCACCGAGAAGCAAAACCTCGCAGAATGAAAGCAGACGGATTGGTGCAGGATGAGACTCTCTGTGAGGCTTAATCTGGGGAGCTAGTAGAACGTTCACGAGGCCCGCATACAAATCTGGCATCCGAACAAGAAGGCTTTTGCGCAACCAACGCAAGGCTTTCAGTGTGTTGATCGGCTGAAAGGCGGCGGTAGAATTGCCGCGATGCGTGGCCCACAAAGCATCGATGAGCTGAGCTTGGCTCATTTCCGATGGCCCAGGCAACTCAAGATCCGCAACCGACCTGAAGACAGCTAATGCAGCCGTGAGGTATCGCAGCATAGTTGATGGAGCCAAAGTGTGCAGAAAACGCTCCATGAGCCATGAAGCGTTGCAAGATTCATGCAGCTGAGCCAAAGTATCGGAATGCGTCTGAATCATAGGGCGAAGTTCTTCCCAAACCAATCTGGCCAACTCAAGCTTCTTAGCATCATGTTGCACAGCGAATTCCACAGGACGCTGTTCCGTGCCAGTGCGGAAGGATAAAGGCTTGACCGTTAACCCTGATGTCACCTTAGGTACAGACGGGGCCGTCATGGCACCTGCTGCTGCGCCCTGAGGAGGCAGGAGGGTTCAAGATCGTTGAAATCCTCCATGGACCGCATTGGATGAAATGCCCGTGAGCTGAAAACTGGACGCTGGAGAGGCGCTGAAGAACCTGCATGTGGTGTAAGGTGACGACCGTGGCTGATGCAGGACGGGCCGAGGCAACGGCAAGCAGTCCGGTGGCGGCCTGAGGGATTCTCGTCGCAACGGACGCACGCATCCAAAAGCCAGGTCATTGGCATCTATGCGAGATCGAGGCTCAAAACCCAAAGGGGGAGGCACCGGTGCAGGTATGGAAGCAAGGCCAGGGGCCCTAGACGCAAAAGCTGAAAACAGGCCTGGCTGGGACTTAGGGGTAGGAGGCCTAAACCGCTGCAAATCAGAGGTAACCGAACAAGCCATCTGCTTGGGATGCAATGCGAGCAACTGCGTTGCCGGTGTTACAGCCGAAGCAAACACTGGCAAAGGAACTACTGTAGGTGCACATGTCGAATCCTGCACAGAAGCAGACTGCTTGCGAAATCGCTTGACAGTACAGACAGGTGTGTCACTAGCTACACCCAGATTGTCCAAATGATCCAAGAAATCCTGAGATACCGCCGGCGTGGCAGCCACCCTTGCTGGTGCCTTGGATTCTGAATCCTCCTGCGCCAAACGTGACAGCTGCCTAGCATGCAAAACCTGTTCAAGCAAAAGAAGTGCCATGCGATCACAAGTTGTCCCGAAGCTGGCTAAAAATTGATCGTAGATGTTAGTCAGCCTTTAAAAAGACCCACCGGGGAGATTCTCCTCCGAGGACACTCTATGGGGAGAAACTCCACCTCACAAGGGGGAGAAACTCCACCCAAGAGGCACGTATCCCGAGGGAGCTACTCCTCTCATCACTATCATGACCCCTCAGCTTTGAACTCACTGGTTTCTCACATATCCTGCGCCTGAAAGCGAGGAAGGGCTGCGTCCCAAGCTGCCATGGCCACATTGAACACTCTGTCTTCTGCACAAAAGACAGAGCGGAGACTCTCGGTCTCCTGAATGTAGAGCGTCTTGAGGTCATCCGGCAGGAACCTGGATGATGTGCGTCTCCCGCTCACACCACGACATGTCATATCGATGCATTGACAAACTGGCAGGGGCCACAAGCTCGCCCGTCCCCCCTCGGGCCAAGAGTCAGATAGACCATAGCTAGGTCCGTCAAGGCCCGACGTCGGCGGGCCCGAATCTCCTCCCATTCAGCCACCCCCACTATGGAGGTGAGGTGTTTCACCACCTGCGAGACTCCTTCGGCCGGGAGCAACTCCGCGGCCAAGTTCATTATCTGGTCTTTGGTGACCAATGCGAGCGCTTCAATGCGCCCATGGAGTTCCGTCGTCACCGCCCGGGGGAGTATCTCCAAACCCTGGGACTTATAGTGGAGATAAAGAAACGACGCTATGGTCGGAATGAGAAGCTGGGCGAGCTGAGTCGGGCTCTGATCATACGGCGTCCTCGGTTGGACGCAAACTGGAAACCTGCAGAAGATTGAGCCAAGATGTCTCTGCACATTAGAATGTAGAGGCTGTCGGAATGGTGTAAGTCCCTGATGCGATCTGCTGTCAGCGGGAGGGCCTCCTCGCAGCAAGTTGCAAGATCCGTGGCCGCAGTCCTCGCAACATCGAGGGGAGCTAGTTCAAGCTGGTTCCAGGGTGCCTACCTTTGTCTGAAGCCCTTGTTACCAGACTGGCCCACTCGTGGGGCCAGTCCGATGAGATCCCATCCTTCAGATAAGATCACGAGAGAAGGTCACGAATCTGACGGACTAGCGGAGAGGGCTGGGTGCCCTGCCGCTGAAAGTCGCAGTTGAGAAGTGAGAAAGCTGAGCTACCGACTAGTGATTGGAATGTGTCCAGCAGCTCAGACGTCGAGGCCCGAACTGAAAGTTGAATCTGAATGCGAACCGGTCCACCGGACATGTGCTCTGTCAAAGGCCTAGAGGTCTTGAACAGCCTGACGTGATCCGGATCCGACGAGATTCGTGCGATAGCATCTCCGAGGCCCGAAACAACCTGAGCAGTGGTGAGCGGTTCCTCGAGAGTTTCTGTAAGCTTCTCCTCTGATGGTGTCCATTCGAAGAAGGGCCATTCTCCATCCTGGTTCAACACGCCATCCGCCTGAAGACGCTCTTGAATGGCCTTGTCTTTGCTGGTGAGCACCAGCCTATCCTTGAGCTCACGCAAGAAACGTAGTGTGAGAGCGGCCCGGGCAGGCAAGCTCACAGGCACAGGCGAGGCTTTGATCCTCTGGCTTTCTGCGTACAACTGAGGCAGGATTGAGTGTTCATCTGTCCGAGCATAGGCGACGAAGGTGACATCGGAGGCAAGCGGAGTAATTTGTTCATCGTGCC